TTCAACGCCAAATTTCTTGCTTGGTTTTACCAATATAATGCACCGCATTCACAAGACATGAGGTAGACAACTCCTCTAGTCTGACAATTGGCAAAATGATCCTTGTCAGTGGAAAAAAATGTTCCTGCACCTCCCTATGTCCATATTGTCAGTCTAAGAAGGGTTGTGTCAGGGAATGCACATATCTATGTGCAGGCGCAGAACCCCTGTTAGCCCTGTTCATGGCTGATTAGCGAATGCGCGTGCACGAAAGTGCGCATGCGTGATTGCACATTGGCGCCAGGCAGGTTATTTAAGCTGGGCTAGTGCCATGCATTAGTGCCATTTGGTCTAATACTTTTGAGCACCTGTGCATCCTGTTACCTGTAATTCCGTTGCTGATCTGATCTGTTATTGACCTTGCTTGAACGCTGCCTGTACCGACCCCTGGCCTGCCCTTTGACTATTCTTCTGCCTGCCGTTTATGCTTACTCTGCCTGCTAGTTGCCGACCCGGACCGCCTGACCTTGTCTTACTCTGCTCCTGCACAGGAACCGGCTTATCCTTGCCAGTATCCTGCACATCTGCCTGTGTGCTACCTACCAGTCTGCTCCCGCACCTCTGCTAGAGTGTCATCTGCCAAGCCGTTCCTGCACTTCTGCCTGCGTGCCATCCACCAACTGCTCCTGCATTCCTGGCGCACGTCAACATCCATCCACAGAAGTCCTACCAGGAACTCCTGCACCTCTGTGCTCCGGCACTCCGTTACCAGGGCCACTGAGCCAGAGCTGCAAGGGAGGCCCTCCTCTGCACTTCAGATTCTACCACTAGGTACATTACAGGTTGTTTTGGCATCTATGTCAGTGGGATGAAGAAGGAGAACTGTGAGGTGGGTTTTGCAGAGTGCATGGAACTAAAGGGATCTGTGGTGTGAAGAGGGGCTGAAGAACTGAAACCTACTCTTCAAGAGAGGAGAAAAGCTAAGGGGCTCTTAGACAGGGGGGGGTTCTGAGGAGGAGAGAGGAGTTCTGGGACTGAGTTGTCCCCCCACCCTCTGTGTACTCACTCAGCACAGACCACTTTCTAAGTGTGGCATCTGCTGGGAATGAAGGTAGGTTCTACTTCCCGTTTCTGGTCCTATAGTATGTCACATGACAAGAGGAGACAGGAAGAAGGGCATTCTGCCCTCAATCCTCAGCAGCACTTTTCTAATACTTAGATGTGTCCTATTCAGGATGGAGGAAGGAGAGAGAGAATCTTCCCTTCAGCAACCATTGAGACCACTGCTCCCTCTGGCAAAAGTGATGCTGTGGTCACTCCCGTCACTGAAGTGCATCAGAGCAGCTGAAGCTCCCAGTGCACCCCCCACACACAGACATCAACACTGAGCTCAGGGCACATGCCCCTCTCCCCTCGTCCTCTGGCTCTGGTTTTCTGCAGGATCAACCAATATTTTTTGCACTTATCAAAGAGGTATAAAATGTATTTAATTGGATTGTAGACAGACCAAAGAATAGATTATGTGATAAGTGCATTATTAGGGTTTACATACAGCCTGATCTAAGTTGTTTAAAAGCTTTTGTACGTCAGAATAATATTAGGGTGTAGTGGGATGGTGGCTGTAAAAAAAAAACATAGGTTAGAAAGAAGGTTTCAACCCATTTCAAAGGGAAAATGTATTTTCAATGAGTAGATATTTTTGAGTTTTTTAAAATCAGATTGTATTTATTAGAAATTGTTTTCCATACAAATAAAGACATATATGCACATGACAACAAAAAAGACACAACCTAAGTAATAAATAGAAAACCTACACCATCCCATCACAGCACAGATCCATAAAAAAATTATTAAGAATAAACTACAAAAAGTACATATCAGTTATGGGATTTCTAACTGAAAAAAAAAAATCTAACCAGCATTTTCATATAGCTCAAATTTAAACATGGCATTGTTTAGAAAGTATATTTGCATCACATATGCAATACACTTATTCAAATCTTGGACCCAATTAGATATCATAGGGGGAGAGACTGAAACCCATTTAATGATGATCATTTTTCGGACAAAATAGAGTACTCTAGAAAACCCCTAGAGTTCATACTCATCCAAAAGAAAAGAATCAAAATGCCCCAAAATACATGTCAGTAGATCTACAATAAGAGAAAGACCTGTTACATTATTGTTAATTTGGCTAACTTCTGTCCAGTATTGTTTACTCTTAGGACAGCGCCACAGCAGGTGAATCAGGTCTCCCTGTGATTGATCACATCTATTACAGCAAGAATCTTGCTGTACACCTATACTACAAAAAAAAAATACAGAGTCCAATATACCCAGTGGATAATAAACAGGTGTGTTAGCTGATACGAGGGGAAGGAGAAACAAGAGGGATCCTTTGCAGAACCTGGTTCCAGACTTCATCAGGAATATGACCCAACTCTTGTTCCCATATCTTTTTACATGAAGCTGGATGTCTCAACAAAAATCTAGATAAAAAGTTGCTCATAAATCTCTGAAATGAGGCCCCCTGAATTACAGATCCCAACAATTTTATCAAATAACGGAGTATCTCCAATTGAGAAGCTAAGGGAGCCGTTTTGGGCCTGAATGGCATGTGTGATTTGAAAATACTGACAGAAAGACCTTTTCTCTAAAGAAAATTCTATTTGCAGTTGCTGAAATGATTAGAACATTTTCACATAGATGGGAAATTGTCAGAAAGCCACTTCTGGCCCAAGCCTGAAGCTCCAGCAACGTTTCAGATTCAGGAAGTAAATCATTAGACCATATTAGGGGTAAGCCTGGTATAACAAGTTATACCAAGTAACTCCTTCACAGATACCCAGACACATCATATCAAACAAACAGTAGGGAGCTGTGATGGAGATTTGAGATATGCTGAAGACTCCAAGGTGTATAGTGGACATCCTTTAAACAGCCCCTTAATCAATTTGTAAGAGGTTTTTATGGAGGATGGCTTTCCCAGCCATTCAAATGTTGGAGATGTGTTGCAAACAGTACAACCATGGATTCGGTACTGCCAGGCCTCCCATATCCCTGGGTATTGATGGAGTTCTAGTCTAATCCTAGGTGGTTTCTTCTTCTAAATAAAATCTCTAAAGATACCTGTCAGGGAAGGCTTGCCCATAATACAGGTGCAATTTTGAGCAAAAAAGGATACAGAAAAAAGACCATCTGTACAAACCAAAGCTTGGGGTTTAGCATATAAAAGACAAACCCAAGAATGGAAATTTTTACCAATCCCAAATTTCTCAAGGACTGCCCAAAATGTACTCCCATTCTATTCTGTCAAATGCATTGAAAGCAAAGAAGGAAATCTGTTGGGACTTACATATTTAAAATAACATGTCTAATATTAACTGCAGTAGACAACTTGGGTATAAAACCTGTCTGATCAGAATGTATAATTACTAGTTATCACTTGATTCAATTAATTAGCGAGAGTTTTAGCTAGTATTTTTAATATCGACTGGAAGAAGAAAAAATGGGGCGATACAAATCAAGTGTCATGGAGTCTTTATCTTTTTTAGGGATCACCACTATAGTGGCATTGTACATACAGTCAGAAATATAACCTAACCCAGATGCCTCATTGAAAATCTGAAGGAGAAACCGCAGAGTATCCCCATATTGTTTGTAAATTTCAATGGGCAAGGCATTACAGCCTGGAGACTTACAAGCAGGGAAACTTGCCACAGCCAACTTCAACTCCTGGAGCATCAAAGGAGCATCAAGGTATGACTTATCCTCACTACTCAAGATGGCATATCAATTCAATTCAGGAATGATTGTGAATCAGTAGGGGCATATTTCAGCTTGGACGTAAATAACTCACTCTAAAAATTATACAGAATACTAATAATATCTGAGGAAGTATTATGAATATGCCCTGTATTGTCTCACAAATCTCTAATATGAATATACGAATGCTGAGATCGGGCAATGCGAGCCAGTAATCTAGATACCTTCTCCCCTTCCGCTCATAACAGACATTTTTGAAATGTAGCCTTTTTTTCATTCAGTTTTTCTATTAGGGCCGTGTGTGCTTCTGTCCATACTGCCAGGTTACTTGGAGAGGGGTTCCTAATATAATCTTTTTCAGCTTTTAATTCCACTCTTTGGGCCTTTTCTTAACCCCTCCTGGTGACCAACTTAAAAAAAAATCTGACCTCTTTAATTAGAAGGCCTCGCAAAAATGCTTTCACTGAGTCCCATATTTAATGTGTCTTTCACATTTTTGTATGCCCTCTGTTTCATATTTGTATTATTATATCAAATATAGAGATATGTAGAAGAACCACTTGCGGGAGCACTGCACTTACCACAGATATTAGCCACTTATAAAAAGCATTTCTTTTAGTGGATCGGCTGACTCATGGACTTGAATTGTGAGAAGCAGCAGTAAAGTGCAATCATTATGTAGCACTGCAAAGCATAAAGTAAAGCTTCGGTATACAGTAATTAATCATGGCATGTACATGTATTACAAATATCACATGGAAGCAAGATTTTTAAAACACTAACACACCAACAAGATTTGTTTTAGTTCACACTGTCTCTATTTCAGTTTGAAAAAGAAGAACAAACATTATACTCATCTCGTTGGATGTAGCATCAATCTGATGCTGCATCTGTCCCCCACCAGCTCTGCAGTGAGAAACTGAGTGATCAAACACCAGGCTGTGGGAGGGGATAGGAGGGGCTGGCTCAGGCTCTCAGCAGATTGCTGAGAGGCTGAGCCAGGTGCTGGTCAAGGCATCTGGGTGGATACCGGTCATATGGTCGGGATCTTTTCAGAACCTGAAGCAGCTGAGTGACGTCAACCGACAACAGACTTTAGCCCCCTGTCGGCTCAAAACAGGCTACAAGAGTGCAGGAAGAATTGCACTCCTGTGACCTACAGGAGAAGTATAGCCAAAATAGCTTTGGCTATACTTCTCCTTTAAAAAAATTAAAGACTATAAATTTCTCATTATCATGCTAGCCCCTTTGCTTGTCTATATATAAAGAGCGCTTCTGTCCACAGTAAAGTTGAGGTTCTTGTACAGCTTTCCACATGACCAACATCTGGTATGGCACAAACGGTGTACCATTAAAAGTTCTCTGTAATAGCATGGGTTGAAAGAATCCAGCTTGGCTGATGGTACTTGCACACCTCCTGTCCTCATTCCCATGTGAGAGCCTGGGACTAGGCCAGCCTTTTTCAGACACATGCCTAGATACACATCATCAATTGGGAACAGTGGTATTTCCAGAGATTTATCGTAAATAACATGGGCAGTACTTTGAGACATGAGTATTCCTCCTCCCCCACAATACATAGGGTAGGAATTGGAACTGGTGAGCTGTATGGGGACATAGTATTTGCTGCCAGGTTCACGAATAGGTCCAACGTTGGCTATTAGTTGCCCAACAAAGAGGTGACTATCCGCTCTCAGTTCACGTAGGTAGGTAATTACATTGAAGGTGTTTACAAATATATCATCGTCTCCGTTGAAAATAAAATTAGCTCCTGGGCAATATTCTGCTAGCCAATGGTAGAAGAGGAACTGTTTTAAAGTTAAGTTAAAGAAAGTGTCATGAAAGTCCCACTGTAAGATATCTCCATAAGACTCACTCTCAATTCTTAGAAGCTGATTGAAATTCCTGTTCTCCCACTGTTTCTTAGATGTCCCTGACATGAAAATCCTTTTGACATGGACACCATTATAGTTATCTTGCTTACCCCAAGTTTGACGAATTATTGATCTTCTGTCATAGTTTTCTGGAGAAGACTTTATTGCAAATAGCAGGAATACCCCTGTAGATGCAGCTCTTCCATCACATTTCTGGGGTGCGTTAAGGATCTGTGAAAAGTTTTTGCAATGTTTATATCTCAAGAAGTCCTGAATGTGTTTCCGGCAGTGTGGAAAAGCCATTCATTCTTGCTACTGATGAGTTCTCTTTGCAGCTTGAGATCCATTCCATTTTTTTTGGTTCATCTGAGATACATGTAAAGGCAGATTGGAGGACAGTTTGATCTCCCGTTTTCTCTACGGCATCTAAACTTACATGTATAAAGAACAGGAGTCCAACAAAACCCATGCACAGCAGCAGCATGTTTTCCACTTTAGCAAAAAACCATCCCATATTGACGCTGCTAGAAAAAAAAAAAAAAAAAAAGTGTTTACAGAAGTCTAAAAAAAAATGATCAAACTGTAACTAAATAAAAACCCCTAGCTCCAACGGCGAAGACAGACTCAAATATCACCTGACATTAAAATAATGCGTGTTAAAGTGGTGTTAAACTTCAGATATGAAAAATGGACAAAGCATATCGCTCTATAGTGTATACTTGTCTCTATTAGGAACACAGGGGTTGATTTACTAAAGGCAAATAAACTGTGCACTGCAAATGCAGTTGCTTCAGAGCTTAGTAAATGAGGTAAAGCTTCACTTGGCAAAGAGTTCCCAATCATATGCAAGAAAAATAAAAACAGCATTTTTGCTTGCACTTGATTGGATGATAGAAATCAGCAGCGCTTCCCTTCATTTCAGAGCTTCCCCTCTGATCTAGAACAACTACACTTGTAAGTACACACACTATTTTTCTTTAGTAAATCAACTCATAAGTGTCATTTCTGTCTGCTGCTTTGTTCCTCTGCTATCAGCATGAATCACTTCTTTTTTTTTTAATTTAAATATTTATTAAATTTTTCATGTTAATACAAAAACCCATAAAGGGGAAAAGATTCTCATACACATAAATATTTATAACATTTCTACCTTTCCCTTTCTAAAAAACTCTTTACTTTCCCATCCCACTGCCCCCCCCTTTCCCCCCCTCCTCTTCCCTCCTCCCCCTCTGCAGACTCTAGCCCATTTTACTCTCTTGAGGTTTATTAATTTTTTACTAACATCCTAGTTCATATTTTCCTATATTTTTCTTTCAATCCTGCTCTTTCCCATTTTTCCTATCTCCTGAAATAAACTCTCATCCTATCTTCCTGCATATGGTATGTTCTTTCCATTCTACTTATCTTTTTCACTCTGTTGATCCAGTCATCCTCCTTCGGTACCTCAGATTTCCGCCAAAACTTGGGTATCAACCCCTTTGCCGCATTCAGTAAGTACCATATACCTGAATCTTTATGTTTATTTACAGATGTCTCCACATTGTGTAGGAGGCACATCATTGGGTCTAACCCTATGTCAATTTCAGTTATATCTTTGATCAATTTGACTATTATCTTCCAGAAAGCTTGGATTTTCGGACATTCCCACCATATGTGGAACATCGTGCCTATCTCTCCACATCCTCTCCAACACAGATTTGAATTTTCACCACTCATCCTGTGCTCTACACTCGGTTTAATGTGCCAACGTGTCACGCATTTATAATTAACCTCAACCTCTCTCATACTAACATTATCGTGTATCAATCTAAACATCTTTCTCTGTCTATCTTCATCAATCTCCACTCCCATATCTCTTTCCCATTTTGTTATGAAGATTAACTTTGTGTTTGTGTCCAATTCTGTGAGTATTCTATACACTTTTGAAACACCGTGCTTCCCATCCCTTCGTGTCTCTAACAACCTTTCAAACATATTCCACTCCTCTTTTGATCTCAGGGGTTTCGGTAGATTTCCAATAAAACATTTCAGTTGATGATGTTTCCACTCATCTAATCTAATAAAAATATCTCCCTTCTTCTCTATTAAATCTTTTAGTGATCTCAATTCCCCCTCCACCAAAAACATCTCTCAGTTGAGTATCTTCCTTTCTAAACCATCTCCCCTGATTATCTTAATCTTTCCCGGGGGAAAGTACTCAGTGTTTGTGAGAGGCATTAATATAGAATTAAAATCCCATTTCATGCTTTTGTGTAAATTATCCCATACCCTAAAAACATTTAAAGTGTAGATACTTGTGCTTTCTTTAATTCCCCTGAACTGTGGTGGAACCCATATCATCTGACTCAATCTAATGCCACTAAGATCATTTTCAATTGTTACCCAGCTTTTCCCCTTATGGTTAAATGTCCAGTCATATATTCTTGCTAAAACCACTGCTTTATAATATCTCTTGACATCTGGTAGACCCAATCCCCCTTTCTCTTTAGTCCTACTCAATGTTTCATATGCTATTCTAGGTTTTTTATTTTTCCATATGTATCTTGTTAGTATTTTTTTTATTGTCTTGAAGAAGGCTTCTGGAATTTTAATTGGTACCATTTGAAATCTATACAGTATTTTAGGCAGGATTACCATTTTAACTAGGTTTATACGTCCTATCCAGGATGGGTTTCCCTCCTTCTAGTCTTTTTAAATCTTCTCTAATCTCATTTATCAAAGAGATATAGTTTAATCTATACAAATGCTTAGATGAGGCAGTGAGTTTTATTCCTAGGTATTTTATCTCTTTTTCTCTCCATATAAAGGGGAATTCTTTTTGTAGTTTTTCTTTTTCATTCTTCGATATATTAATATATTCAAGATCTCTGTTTTTGTTGGATTAATTTTTAAATTTGATAGTTCACCGTACTCCTTCAGAATCTTCATTTATATTTGGGAGAGTTATTCGGGGATTCCCCACATAGAACAATAAGTCGTCCGCAAAGGCCGCAACTCTATGTTCTATGGATTCTATCTGAATTCCCTTTACCGCTCCACTATTTCTTATTGTTTACAGCAGAGGTTCAAGTGACAATACATATAGCAGAGGGGACAATGGACATCCCTGCCTTGTACCATTAGACCACATTCCAATGGGTTTCTGATCTTTCCCCATTTACCGTGATAATTGCAGTGGGCTCCCTATATAATTTACTTATCCACTCTCGCATTCTATCGCCTATTCCCAGCACTTTTAAGTTGTCCATCATAAAACCCCAGTCCACTCTATCAAATGCCTTCTCTGCATCAATTGACAAGAGCACCACCGGGGTCTTCCCTTTCCCTACTTTCTGAATTAGCATCAGGGTTCTCAGGCCATTATCTCTACCTTCTCTCCCCGGTACAAAGCCCACCTGGTCTCCATGGATCCATTCAGGCATAAGATCTCTCAACCTGTTTGCTAACACCTTTGCATAACAGTTTAGTATCTGTGTGATCAATAATGAGATAGGTCTATAGCTGGAGCACTGAGACGGATCTTTTCCCTCCTTGTGGATAAGTACTACATGGGCCTGTAGGGATTCTCTCCTCAATTCCATCTCACCTCCCAGGGCATTCATATATTTCTCCAACTTGGGTAACAGTACTTCACTAAATTTCTTATAGTATTTAACTGTATAGCCATCCGGACCTGGGCTTTTCCCCCCCCACTGTGCCTTTTAATGCTATTTTAATTTCTTCCCGGGAGATTTCTGCATCTCAGGGTATTCAACTGTGCTTTACTTAGTTTTGGTAATCCCGCATTTTTTAAGTATGTCATCTTTTTTTTCATTGATTTCCTCTTGAGCTTCTTTTAGGGGCCCTTGGGGACTAATATTATATAACTGTTTGTAATACTCCGTAAACACTTTAATAATCTCTTTATTTGAATGGACCAGCTCCCCCTTTGAACTTTTAATCTTTTCTATTATAGTTCCGTATTTTTTCTTTTTATTCAGGGCTCGCTCTCATTAAATTTCTTCCTGGTCTATCTCCCCATCTATATCTCTCGTTCAAAACCCTGTTGTATACTCTTCTCTTCTCCTCATCCATCAACCTCTCTAGTTCATCTTTTTTATCCATTAACTTCTGTCTCGTATCTTTTGTTATTTTCTTCTTATGAATCTGCTCCAAGTCCAATATTTCTTTTAAAAGCCCACTGACCCTCTCTCTTCTTTCCTTTTTCTTCCTTGCTCCTGCCGCTATCAAGATTCCTCTTATAAATACCTTGTGGCTTTCCCACAGACTGTAGCTATCGATACCTCCTCTGTTTCGTTCTCCATAAAGTATAACTTTATCTCTTTCTCGATTTTCTGAACTAAGTCCTCATCCAAAAGAAGAACCTCATTTAACCTCCACCCTAATCCTCCAGTCCACCTTCTTCCCCATCCCATTTTCATTACTACCGGAGCATGATCCGAGAACGTCCTTGTCTCTATGTCAATTTTAACTAGATGGTCTATAAGTTGGTGATCTATTAAGATGTAATCTAATCTCGAGTATATCTCATGTGCATTAGAGAAGAAGGTATAGTCTCTGTCCTTCATATGCTTTATTCTCCAGGTGTCCACCAGTTGATATTCATGCATCACTTTTTTCAAAGCTTCTCAGAGACCTACTCCCCTCTCTTTGCACGGAAGAGGTATTATCCTTTTGTGTGGGTCCATACAGAAATTTAGGTCTCCAGCTACTATCAGGCACCCTTTTTTAAATTCCATTAATTTTTTCAAGAAACTTTTCATATACATCTCCGGTTTTTTATTAGGGCAGTATATGTTGGCTAAAGTACACTCAATCCCCTGAAGTTTGCCCTTTAAAAATAAAAACCCTCCCCTCCGGATCGGTTCTTCTATCTTCCAACTCAAATCTCATATTCTTTGCCAAACCTATTGCAACCCCTTTTGCTCTTTTAATTGGGGAATCTGCATAATACCATGTTGGTTAGTATTTAGATTTCAACCTCACGTTTGCCTCTATCTCAAATGTGTCTCCTGTAAAAATACCACTGACGTAGCTCTATGGTGTAACTCATTAAATAGCCTAAA